TTCAAGGGTCCTATGCAAGCACAAACCTCTCCAATGAGCAAATGAAATGCTTTGAAGTTGATTATCAGTGTGTACCCTTATACAAATTAAGGCTACTCAGACCACTTTCTAATTGAGCTACCTCAAGTACTGGTGTGAGGATTAAAGTTTAGAAGAAGGCAGTTTGCTTAGTGGATATAGAAAACTGGCCTCAGAATCAAGAAAACCTGCTCAAGTGACTTAACCTCTCCATTCCCCAGAAAACTTTCTTTCTTTCTTTTTTTAAATCAATTAATTTATTTTTAGTTTTCAACATTTACTTTCATAAGCTTTTGAGTTTTAAATTTTCTCCCCTTCCCCTCTCCCCTCCCCGAGACGGCATGCAATCTGATATAGTCTCTACATATACATTCTTATTAAACATATTTTCACATTAGTCAAGAAGAATTAGAACGAATGGGAGGAACCACGAGAAAGAAGAAACAAAACAAAAAGAAAAAAAAAAGAAAGAGAGCAAATAGTATGCTTTGATCTGCATTTGGACTCCATAGTTCTTTCTTTGGATGTGAATAGCATTTTCCATCATGAGTCTTTTGGAGTTGTCTTAGATCCTTGTATTGCTAAGAAGAGCTAAGTCTATCAAAGTTAGTCATCAGGCAATGTGGCTCTTACTGTGTACATTTTCCTGGTTCTGCTCACTTCACTCAGCATCAGTCCATACAAGTCTTTACAGGTTTTTCTGAAATCTGCTTGCTCATCACTAGTATTCCATTACATTCATATACTACAACTTGTTCAGCCATTCCCTACTTGATGGACATTCCCTCAATTTCTAATTGTTGGCCACCACAAAAGGAGCTGCTATAATTATGTTTATACATGTAGGTCTTTTTCCCATTTTTATGATCTCTTTGGAATACAGCCCTAGAAGTAGTATTGCTGGGTCAAAGGGTATGTACAGTTTTATAGCCCTTTGGGCATAGTTCCAAATTGCTCTCCAGAATGGTTGGATCCATTCACAACTCCACCAATAATGCATTAGTGTTCCAATTTTTCCACACCTTCTCCAGCATTTATCATTTTCCTGTTTTGTCATGTTAGCCAATCTAATAGATGTGATGTGGTACCTAAGAGTTGTTTTGATTTGCATTTCTTTAATCAATAGAGATTTGGAGCACTTTTTCATGTGATTATTGCTAACTTTAATTTCTTCATCTGAAAACTGCCTATTCATATCCCCAGGGAACTTTCTAAGGCTGATCGTGAGTTTCAGAGCAGGTGCAGTTCTACACTGGAAAAGAAGATCCTAACTGGGAGCTCACTATCCAATAAAATCACAAGTTCCATTGGAAAAAAAAAATTTTTAATTCACAAATTGCTTTATGAAATTATCACTTATAAGCACTTGGTAACTGTAAATTCCTGATCACTAATTCCCTAATGAAACTGTCAGGTTCTGCTTCTTTAAACTTTCAGTTATTAGAAATATTATTCAAGTATCACTAGAGCTCCTGGAAAAAAATCAGTGCAGAATAGGTGGAGCCTGGAATTTAAAGCAATGGCAAGGTAACATTTTGCTTCAGATGAGATCTTACCTTTTGGTATCATGGACCCTTTCTAAGAATATTTGTGAACACATACTATGGATTACCATGGAAACAAATTTATACTGAAATATAGCTATCATTTTTTTAAAGTTCACGAGGCACAGGTTAAGAAGCCCCACTTTAGAGCAACACTGAAATCTGCTTTCTAGAAAGGAAACACATGGGACAAAAAAAAATCAAAGTAAGGTTAGTAACCATTAAGGGGGCAGCCCAGCCGAGAAAGTTCTCCACTAATTTGCTTTGTTGCTTCTGCATGATTCACAATAGCTCCAAATATTGCTTAACAATTTACCAAAAATTAAATATTGACTGTACCCACCCATTTCACTTTAATTAAAGCAGACAATATCCCCTAAATGTGAATGTGTGTGAAAGTGAGGTGGAGTGGGGGATTACTGTCAATAGTATATAAAATCTCCATGGCTCACGTAAGATACACAGAAGGCTTTTCCTCCTGGGGGAAAAAAATCAGTATAGGATAACCTAGGTTTGTATTACGGATTGCCTTAATATGATAGCTATTCATTTTAAACACTACAATAGACGTCTTAGACAAACAAATATGTACCAAAGAGAAGGATTAGTCTGGCACCCTGGAGTCCTATTACAAATTAGTTGAGAAGGAAGTTTATTTTATAATTATTTAGTACAAGTAGTCATTTAAGTTCTTCAAAGAACATGTCTTAGACATAGCTATTCGTATTCTTTCCTGCTAATTAGCTCAAGAACAGCCACAGATTTTTCCTCAGGAAAGATTTTCTGTCAGGCTGCACTCAGCTTTGTAAAAAATGTTCTGAAGGCAAGGACGTGGTAACCACTTTTACCTGGCATGGAGTTCCATTTGCCTTTTTTTTTTTTTTATTGTAAGAGATGCCCTTTATTATCTGGTAATATGGCACAACAGCACTTCACGTGACTTAGGGCAATGACTCTGGGAGGAGCACTCTTAAAGGCAAGCTTCTTGCCAAATTTCATGCTGCTACAAATCAGGGTTCTGGGAGAAGAAACAAACATTTTCTGATCCGCAGATCATCACCTTGACTCTAAAGGATCTCAATCAATAAATTACCTACACATGGAAAAAAATGGAAACATTGCAGTCAGTTATATCTAAAGAGGAGACATTATAACTACACAGAATTGACCACAAGGACCTATACCTATACGTAGTGCACAATCTGTCTTTTCAAGGACAGATGCCTTTCACAAGATAGTAGTTGTCCCATTACTCTCCAGACTAAAAACACATGACGACAACAAACTAACATGAATTCAATTGACCCTTATCAATGAATTTGTATTTCACTGATAAGTAGCATATATTTGTTGTTGTTGTTGTTGAACTGTTTCAGTCATGTTTGACTCTCTGTGACCCCATTTGGGGTTTTCTTAGCAGTTACTGGAGTGGTCTGCCATTTCCTTCTCCAGCTCATTTTACAGATGAGGAAACTGAGGCTGAGTTAAGTGACTTGCCCAAGGTCACATAGCTAGTAAGTGTCTGAGGTTGGATTTGAACTTGTAGTCTTCTTGACTACAAGCTCTCTCTATCTACTGCTCCACCTTAGCTGCATTTATAATACATTTACAATTGATAAACATATAGCACTTCAAGGTTTGCAAAAGGTTTTACAGATATGCTCATATTTAAGCCTTGTGAGTCTGGTACTACAGATGTTGTCATATCCATTTTACAGATGAGGAAAGTGAGGCTCAAGAGAGATTAAGGGTTCCAAAGTCATACTGCAGAATTAAGGTTGCTGGGAGTAATAACAATCTCAGATATGCAGATGATACCACTCTGATGAGAGAAAGTAAAGAAGAATTAAGAAGCCTCTTGATGAAGGTGAAAGAGGAGAGTATAAAAGCTGGCTTGGAGTTCAACATCAAAAAACTAAGATCTTGGCAAATGGTCCCATCATCTCCTGGTAAATAGAGGGAGAAGAAATGGAAACTTTGTCAGAGTTTATATTCTTGGGTTCCAAGATCAAAAAGACTCTTGCTCCTCAGAAGGAAAGCTATGGCACTTCTGGACAGCATACTAAAAAAGCAGAGACCTCACTTTGCTGACAAAGGTCCATATTTGTCAAAGCTGTGGTTTTTCTAGTAGCAATGGATGGCTGTGAGAGCTGCACTATATATATGGAAAGCTGAGTGCTACAGAATTGATGCTTTAGAATTGTGGTCCTGGAGGAGACTTGTGAGAATCCTTTGGACAGCAAGGAGATGAAATCAGTCAATACTTAAAAAAATTAATTCAGACTGTCCATTGGAATGTCAAATACTGAAGCTGAAATACTTTGGCTACATAATGAGAAGATGGGACTCATTGGAAAAGACCCTGATATTAGGAAAGATTGAAGGCAAAAGGAAAAGAGGATGAGATGGATAGATAGTGGCATGGAAACAATGAACATGAACTTGGACAGACTTTGACAGATAGTGGAGTCCATGGGGTCATGAAGAGTCAAGACATGACTGAACAATTGAACAAGTCATACTCCAATATCCGTAATGAGGGCAGGATTTGGACCTAGGGTTTCCTGACTCCAAGCAATGCTCGATCCACTATGGCACAAAGTCTTCCCTTAAACAAGTATGTATGAGACCTATAGAGGGTTAAGTTTGCTTCTTTATTATATAGAGTCGTGCTGTATGTTTTGTTGGAACTAAATAAAGATCACAATGACAATACTAGGCATGTGTGAGTATATTCACAGAGTCCTTGTAATAACTCTAGTCTACAGGTTGATCTATTCATTAGAATGCTATGTCCATGACATGATGAGAAAAATAGATGCTTTACTCAGTAGCCAATGGACAAATCACTCTATCCAGTTTATTACTCTATCCATCCAAATGATGGACTATAAGGAACCGAATAAGAAATGAGAAACTCCATAGGTGTTTTAAGGCAGAAAGAACTAGAGGGAGTGAGGCGATACAGTGGGGGAAGTCTAATTTGCAAAGGAAGTCTAGGCGACTCAAAGTCATAGAGCATAGGTGTATGGCCTTGTAGGCAGCAACATTTCTGGAGTGCAGGGGAACCAGATTAAAATGTAATTGGGAAATTGTTAACAAAATAAAAACACAAAAGAACATAAAGAATGTTAACATGGTTTTCCAAGTCAATATTCAGCTCACACGTATGGTTAAGTGGGCCCTGTTTCTATTTGAGTTTGATGCCATTGGCATATGTACAGCAAGGACACTTAGACAAGATAATCTCTAAGGGGCTTCCCAGCTCTAAATCCAATGATCACAAAATAATAGACTGGATCTCTTAACAACTGACAAGGCCCCAAAGGTGGGATGAACTCATGGCCTTTCATGATGGTTCTGTTAAGCTCTCAAGGTCTCACTGGGCATATGTGCATAGCCCCTCCCCTCTACCAAAGTAAAGTCAACTTTGCTTACCATATAGAAAGAGCTCTACTGGATGCCTTTGAAAGTCACTGCTGCTCTTGGGAATCAATGCTGGTTTTGTGTGCACTGGGATTATGAAAATACAAATATCGATTAGACTTTATTCAATCTTGGAACATTCAGCTGGGACGGCAGCATAAGAGCATCAGATTCATCAAGATTTAAGGATGCGAGCAGAGACTGAAAATTCATGTCACAGAGCCTCCAAAGACACATCAGAAAGCAGTACATTTCAGTTTTCACCCATTTGAGAATTATTTTAAACCATAATTTAGAGGTGGAAAGCACAACGCTAGAGGCTCCATGTACACAGGCTAGTGTGCATATACACGGAGATAACATATCCACACTGAGAAGAAATGTGTGCTGTAAAGTCACAGCCCTGAAAAAGGATTATTAGAGTCACCAAGACAACAGAAACAGGAACAAGTAATTTAACTGGATTAGAGAAAATCTAACTCAATTCAGAAAATAGAATCTCTCTTCTCCATTTCCCTTCCAATTTAGCCAAATGATGGGTTAAAACATATCAAGCTGAACAGGGAACAATAAATTCTAGGTCAAACATACAATAAAGTGCTGATAGAAGATACCACCATTTAACATAGACTGCTATCACTTTCCTTTCTCTTGACCAACACAGGAATTTACTTAGCATATCTATTCAAAAACAGAATCATTATGCAGCTCGTTTCTGAGCCCTACTAATTTGTCTTTCATCAAAATGAGACATGTCAATTTTATATTCAATTTCATCTTTGATAATTGGGGTGAATGGGCTTAATACCTGTATCTGAATGTGCAAACCCTACGGAAGCAATACTTCAACAAGATTTCTCTATAGTAGAGGTTAATGTTGGATTGCTTTATTTCAAGTTTAAGCCTTTCAAAAAGTAGCATAACCTTCCAAATCTTCTTCTTCACATTGTCTTAAATACATTGTTATCTTGACATTTTTTTAAGTTCGGGATGGCAATAGCCAGATCCTATATTTCCAGTTTTAACCACCAGAGCCCAAATACTAACTGAGCTGTTAGTAGTGGAAGGTTTAGGGACATAAAAACCTCAGCCAAGAAAGCAGACAGCAATGGAACTGAAGCATCTGTGAAGGGACCAGTAGGCAGAGCAGCAGCACAGTCAGAAGGAGGCTGGCTTCACTTCTGCCTCTGCTCCTCCTTGGGTCATGCTGCTTTCATTAAATACAATGTTTATGAGATTCTGTTTGGATCCTCCCTTTAGCATAATGATCAGGCAGACTCATTCATTTGCTTAGAGCGCAGTGCTAACCAAATTCAAGTAGCAGCCTTGGTCCTCATATAGGCCAATTCATTTCACAGAGAAACCCCAGTGCTTGATGTTCAAAGACCACCCAGGAAACCCCACCAGCCAATAACAAATATGTGCTATTGGTTACAAGGGAAAAGAGAGTGAAAAGAGACCACGTAGCAGCACCCAGCACAGCATCTGGAAAAATGTGTAGGGATGGAGGTTTTTAGTCCCTTCACTTCCATACATGAAACATAGGAACTTTTTTGTTCAAGTTTCAAAAATGCATCTTTGTTTTCAGAGGAATGATAGCTCACAGCTTCATGATAACCTACAGAATTAACATGACATATTTTCCCAAATTTTATGATGGGGAAGAGAATCTGCAGTCTAGAGGTTCTTAAACTTTTTTTGTGTGAAGCTCATGTGGCCACATAGGTTGCACAGTAGATAGACTACTGGGTCTGGAATCAAGAAGACATCTTTCTGAGACCAAATCTAGCCTGTGTGACCCTGGGCAAGTCACTTAATTTCTGTTTGCCTGTTTCTTCAACTGTAAAATGGGGATAAGAATAGCATCTACCTCTCAGGGTTGTTGTAGAGATCAGAAATTAGATGATATTTGTAAAGCACTTAGCACAGTAACTGACACACAGTAGTATAAATATTAGCTATCATCATCATCATCATCATCATCATCATCCTTAGGCAGCGAGGTGGCACAGCGGATAGAGTGCTGGGCCTGGAGTCAAGAAGATATCTTTCTGAGATCAAATCTGGCCTCAGCCACTTACCAGCTGTGTGACCCCAAACAAGTCATTTAACCCTGTTTGCCTCAGTTTCTTCATCTGTAAAATGAACTGGAGAAGGGAATGGCAAACCATTCCAGTATTTTTGCCAAGAAAATTCCAAATGGGGTCAATGAACAGTTATATAGGACTGAAAACAACTAAACAACAGCAAAAACAATTATCATGGACCCCCTGGGCAGTCTGATAAAGCCTAGGGACCCCTTCTCAGAATAAGGTTTTTAAATGTACAAAATAAAATACAGAAATTTACAAAGGAAACTAATTATATTGAAAAAGTTATATATATATATGTGTGTGTGTGTGTGTATAAATATGATATGTATATGTGTGTATATGTATGTGTGTATAAATATGAATATGTATATATGTGTATATGTATGTGTGTATGTATGCATGCATGTGTGTGTGTGTATATATATGAAAAACAAGTCCATGGGCCCCATGTTAGGAACTGCTATGTCTAGCATGTTCCAAAACAATATGGTTCCTCTTTCTGGGGCTCACATGGAGGTGTTACTAGAGGGGCTTATAGAGCTCAGATCTCATAGTTATCAAAATGGTGGGCTGAGAGAAAATGGCCTGGGAAATGGGATGGCTGTCAGAGGAAGCTCTCTCACTTATTAATAAACAAATACAGTGAAGTCCTGATTTTTTTTTTAATGTCAAAGAAGTATGGGGCTTTTCTATAAGAAACAAAAGCATAAATTGCTCTTCTCTAGAATCTCCCATATTATGTAACATTCCACTGTGACTCAGAACCCAACTAACTGCAATACATTTACAGCATAAATCTCTCCCAGAAGCGAAGAATCCTGGAGTTCTAAGAATGGGATCTCGACATTGTAAGCCTGGGTATAACTCATTTCAGTTTCTTTGTGCATTGATGTTGCTGGATTTCCCCGTACTTTCTGGTGAGCTACCTTTGTAATTAAGCTGTCTGGTTGCATAATTTGCAGCAGTAGGCCTCGGAAAGCATCAATTTCACTGCTGTTTCTTCCTAGCTCCAAGGTAACCTCTTGCCTTTCTCTAAGAATCAGCACTTTGCTATGTTTCTCAGACTCTAAAATTAGCTCTGGGAGATACAGCAGACCAAAGTCTTCAAGGATACTTGAACATATTTCAGTGGTAGCAATGCATGGGGTAACTAAGAGCTTGAAAGGCTTAAAAAAAAATGAAGGAAACCCATGTGTTTGTTAGGGGAAGTTAACCTTCTGTGCTCAAATATTACATCATTGCAAAAGTAAAGTTTAACAAAGGCCTGTCTGTTCACCATAATCAGAGACAGAAAATAAACATTGGTTTAATCATTATGATACCTAAAAGGAGGAGACGCACATCAGACACATTTACCAAGTTTTATCCAACACCCATCTTTTATATGGCAATATAAAAGGCACAGCATTATTGAGATGAGTAAACAAAGCAGTTACAAGACAGGACTGACAGCCTTCATGTGAATATTCCCTTTTATTCTCTGGCAAGGAATAAAAATTTTTTTACCCTCTCCCTATAGATTCCTACCAGTTTGGATATAGTCAATTTAAAACTGCATTAGAAATGACATTTGATACAAAACTTCAATATTAAAATAAATCATCAAATGAAAATTTAGCTGAACTCTGAATAAATGAAAAGTAAATAGGGGTCCAGAAGAACAGACAATGAAACATAGCTCCCTTCTCTTGGCAGGAAGGAGGGAAGACTAAGATGGTAGATTATTACACACATAATTTGACATGATTATTTTATCTGTTGTTTTTTGCTTAACTGCTTTTTTTTTTTTTTATAAGAGAATGTTCAAGCCCAGGATTAGAGAGAGAGGACTCAGAGATAATACCCAGAAATGACTGATGTAAGAAACCAAAAGGCATCAATAAAGCTTTTAAAAATGTAACAAATTACCAAACGAAAACTTCAGACAAGTTTGCATAAAAAACAACATGCATTTTTATGGATAATCTCCAAGCCAATTTTTATTATCTTCTATGAAAATCTTGCTTTAAAAATCCAAAATTTTAAGCCATTCCTTACATTTCAACTATGTAAATATTTTTACACTGGAAGAAAAATAGGCATATTAGATTTTTAAAGGCCTATCAAGCTCACATAATTTAGAAAACATAAACACTTTGATGAAAATATCCATTACAATTTTTCCAATGCCCATCTTTTATATGGCAATATAAAAGGCTCAAAAATGAGTGTCTGGATTCTAGGCATTTACAATCTGCAATGGATAACACTGATACAATTCAATTAAACAAACCTTTCAGAACATACTCTGTGCAGGACACTGGTAGCTCAATGCACAGGGGAGATATAATTCAATAGTTTAGTTATTTTCTCCCATGAAAATTATTGCTGGTTTTTTTTTCTAATTTTCCCCTTTTTACATGTGTAAAAACTCAGTTTATTGTCACTTCCTCACTTAGACTGGAGAATTTACCATTTGAGGTGTTTCTCTCTCTCTCTCTCTCTCTTCCTGTCTGTGTCAATACTTTTCCTGCAGCAGTAAGGATACAGCAGACCACAAATTCACCTTCACTATGTGATCCTAACTTTGATGGGGACTTCAAATGCAAGATTGCCTTGAGGTGAAAACAGGGCTTTCTGCTTATGCTTCTTCCAGACTATCATGAACTGTTAACCTTTTAGAGAAATACAAACATTAACAAAGATTTCCTAACACATACACAAAAAAAGAAAAGCAGATCATTCTTATGGAAAAAGGTTTTTTAAAGCAACCTAATCTACATACAATTAAATACTTATTTCCTAACTATTACCAGTTCTAATTTAATCCATCTCTAGTTTTACACTAAAGATTTTGATTAGAAAACTCCTTTGACATCAGGGGTTCTTAAATTTTTTTGTGTCATGGATCCCGTTGGCAGCTTGGTGAAGACTATGAAATCACTTGTTAGGATAATGTTTTATTTATTTATTTATTCATTCATTCATTTGTTTTAGGCAATTGGGGTTAAGTGA